GCTCATGCTGATGGTGTGACTGACTGCATTCAATCCTCAATGTCAAAATTTGGATTAGATGACTGGAAGCAAAAGCTTGTTGGATTTTGTGCTGATGGTGCAAATGTGAACATGGGCCAAACAGCTGGTGTTGTTGCAAAACTGAGAGTGGACAGTCCAAAACTGATAGACATTCACTGTATGGCTCACATGCTGGAGCTGGCACTTCTTGGGGTTTTTAAAGATGTGAGCTTAGTGAGTCGTGTAAATGACACCTTGCACTTGATTTGGAAAACCTACCATTTCAGCCCAAAGAGCAGCAGAGAACTTCAGACAGTTTGTGAAGACCTTGAATCTAGGTTCTACAAACCAAAGCCAGTAAAAGGAACACGTTGGGTGCCTCATATAAACAGGGCACTGAAGGTCTTCCTGAGAGGAAAAGACGATCTTGTTAGCCAAGCTGGGCAGTATGCAGCTGTTGCCATTCATATGGAGAATTTGGCCCAAACCAGTCACAATGCTGACATTGCTGGTAGAGGGAAAAAGGTTTTCAATACCACGAGGGATCTGCAGTTTGTTGCATTTTGTCATTACCTGGCTGATGTGCTGCATGAGATAGCGATATTAAGTCAGACTCTACAGAAGGCAGAACTCATCCTACCAAGTGCTGTTGCTGCAGTTGAGAGCTGTCTGACCAGTCTTGACTACATGAAAACCAACCCTCTGCCAGATGGTATGCTGGAAACTTTCATCACACAGTGTCTGGAAAAGCAAACTCCTGGTGCTCATATCACAACTTTTCAGGACATTGACTTGAGAGGGGAAAGAGAGAGCCTGATGGACAATCTGAGAAAACAGATGGAGCATGTATGTTCAGCCTGTGAGAAACACCTTCATGCTAAATTGGATAACCTGCTTGGAGTTAACAAAGATCAAAATGCACAAGCTGTGATGTCAGCATTTGCAATATTCAACCATGACAAGTGGCCTGATGACAGAAAACAACTTGAACTATTGTACGGCAACAAGGAGCTGAGGGTACTCACTGAATGGTTCAGAGAGAAGCTTGTTCAATCTGGATGTTAAGTTGAAGAAATCCCTGGGGAATGGAGACGCTTGAAAAGGCGAGTGTCAAGTCCTACTTGGGCCTGTACCAGACGCTGCTGCTGAAGCAACCCTACAGAGATGAGATGCAAAACATTCTTCATCTTGTTCAGATTCTTCTTGTTCTGCCAATCAGCTCTGACAACTGCAAAAGACCCTTCAGTGCCCAAAAGAGAATAAAATCAGATGTCCGCAGCAGTCTCACATCCTCACGCCTTTCAGACCTGATGCTCATTTCAACAGAAGGCCCAGAGCTTCAGCAGTATGATCCATCATCAGCTGTGGAGAGGTGGTTAAGTGGCAAGAGAAAGCCATTTGCTAAGAAATGGTAGAATAAATCCATATGCAACCATAAAGAATAATTCAGACAGACAAAGTATGTTTTGTTTAATTTATTTACTTTTTTTTGTTCAGTTGCATCGTTCATGCATTTCATGTAAAAAGTCTGGCGAGTAAAATTTAAAATTTACTAGCCAATGACGACTCAAGCTTCATTGTGTCCGTAGAGGGTTGATTTAAAATAGCTTTTGGTAGCCCGACTGGAAAACACAATAGCCCCGGGACGTCGGGCTAGCGATTTTGTGAGCCCTGTTTACGGATTACTTAATAATAAGAGTTTGTGTTTTGGCTTTGAATTATTTCGTTTTGTAGTCATTTAAAGCCTTCTATAGATATATTCATCATGTCTGTAAGGAAAATATTCGCTGAGTTTCGGTTCATTTTTGTGAAGAGCTCCTGTTCAAGACCGAGACGGCAAGCGCATTAGTGTTGGCCTATGGATATGGTCATTTTTCAAATCGTCATATCGCCAGCCCGTGACATCACCGATACATGATATTATCGTGCGTGCGTGCATGGGTGGGTGGGGGCAAGAGAGAGACTCTATGTACTAGGGATGTAACGATTCACTCAACTCACGATTCGATTCGATTCACGATTATTATTATTTTTTTTAACAAAATGAGATTTAAGAAATTATAAATTAAATGTGTCCTTTTTTTACTGCTTGGACAAAATGCTGCACATGCTCTTTGTGAATTGAAATATAACACTATAATAAATAAGCAAGTGAACTAGCGGACTTTCCTGGTGTAAATACACCCTTAGACTTACCTGAAAAATGTAAAGCACTGTTTGTTTCATTTGTATCTTTATTCTATTATATTTATCTATGCTTGTAATTTGCTTATTTTCTATGCTGATTTACTCACCTAAAATCACCCCAATCATTGATTATTTTTTTTCCAAATAGAGCTTTTCAAGCCATCTGGGGATTTTTTTTTCATATCGCAATATATAAAATCGCAGAAAAATAAAATATCGCAATGTGAGTTTTTTCCAATATCGTGCAGCCCTAATTCAAACCCAACCCAAAATTTACGCTTTTAAATGTTTTGCCACAAAATTCCCAATCGCATGGATTTCTATTGAAATAACTAGATTTCGCTGTGAAAACAATGGTAAATGTGACTACATCTCAACTTCAAATTACAAAGTAGCTTGTTTCTAAGTAACTTTTCCAACAATGGTAGCTATAGGCTACGTGTTGATACGCAAGTTACTATGGGGTTGCTAGCATGTTGATCAGGCGCTTCTCAAGAAGCCACACGATACGTTTCGTCATTCACGTCTTATGAACAAACGTTGCACACTTACGTTTGCACACAAGTGTGTTTTAGCTATAAGGATAAAGAAGTGTGGGAGCTGATCACGTTTTAATGAAAGTGGTGCAGAAAGTGCTCATGATTTACGAACTGCGGTCACACTCTCAGTAGGGCTCAAGAAGGGCCAAAATGACGAAAAACACACCACTGCAGATGCAGAACGAGCGGCATGACTGCGGTTCAACTCAACAGAAGAATTCCTTCCTATTTAAAGTCGCTGACAGCATTTAAGACTAGAGGTCGATTTTGCCGATTAATCGGCACCGATAGTTGATTGCTGGAACTATCTTTTTAAACACCCAACTTCAAGCTCATCTATGCCAAATTGTTCATTCTTGAAGTAAACTTGTGTCCGTTTGGTGATTAAATAAACTGTTTTAAACCGCTGCTCGAGTTGAACGCGACGCGTCCGGAGTGTGTGTGATACCGGTGAGTTCTCCTAGACTCAGCGCTGTGCTTTTATTTTGATTAGATAATCATCAAGTGTTCAAGAATAGAAGCAGTTAAAGTGTGAAAGTATACATACAACATCCATATGTATACAATTTTAATGCTATAGCCTTTGTGTATATATTTAAAGATGTGCATCTTTATGCATGACAGTTGAAATGAAATGGTAACACTTTAAAATAAGAGACCATTTGTAGCATTAAGATTAATGAAAGCTGTGTAAGTATTGTTCCTTTTTAGAGTGTGTTCATCTCTATTTACTATTATTATTATTATTATAATTTTTACTAGTGTGGTTCAGTACTGTTTTTGTTAATAAAGCACTATTTTAGTTTTTGTTCAGTATCAACTTCAAAACTATCGGTTAATTAATCGGTATCGGCCAGTGTGGTCCAACCTAGCTATTGGTATCGGCAAAATCCACTATCGGTCAACCTCTATTTAAGACAGAAGAAATCGTATTCCTGTCCGATTACCGAGGTGGAAGCTGCCACCAGGAAGAGAAGGAAACGCTGGCAACAGTCACAAAGAGGATGTGTGCATATCAGTCACACGGCCCTTGTGTATAGTCACAGATAAAGAGACAGAAAATCAAAGGAAAGCAGATGATAAAAGAAAAATAACAACAGCAATCCCAGCTGCACACACACAATCATCTCTAACCAGCCTGGGCTCCCAATCTTACCAACTAGAAAGTGTATAAACCCCCTCTTAAAAGCCAGCAGGGGTGGAAGACCAGCTTAGGCCAGTCTAATCAGTTTTCTTTCAACAAGGCAGATGTATCTCGCACATTTTAAAGATGAACTTTGAACCATCCAGCACAATGAGGAAGGAGAGTCTGCAAACACAAGACTGGCTATATATAACTGTGCAAAAGAACTGCTTCGCTTTTCAGGGACTTTCAACAGAGAAAACAAGCCATTGATGCATATCTGCTGCTATATGAATGCGCTTATCTTTCTTTCATAAGAGGGCGTGTTCAGATTGGAGGATTGCAGGCTGGGAGAGATTTCAAGCTCACTGTCTGAACAGGGAAGTCACGTCGGCTTAGCCATGCTGAAGTAAATCAGCTGCATTATTTATGTTCTGCAGACTGGGTCTTTTCAAGTGCTTTGGGATCCAGGGGCCAAGCATCTCACAGAAGAACCATGAAATACTATAAAACCAACACCATCATTTACACCTGAGATTATAGGAAACATAGGCTATCTTTGTAAACAGAGGCAAGGACAGTAGACTGTTATTTAGTCTGCCGAGTCAAACTTTGAAGAACTTCCCCGTGTTGATTTAAGATCCTACACAGGTTTCATGCCACGCTTGAAAGCCCCTGTTCAACAGTAAATAATATCTATGTATGAGCCCTCTGTGGGCATTCATCCTACTCAGCTGACAAGAGGTCAAGGTCACATGAACAAAAAGGGAGTCTCTGGAGCTGATATTTGGTTACATGCATGCCATGTGACAGCTTTCAAGACTTTCAGTGGTAATTCTGCATACCATCTACTCATCAGGCTTTTATATTGGATAACAAGCAATACAGTCCTTTTTAAAAAATACGTCTAAACTAGTCGGAGAAACTTTAAACTATAGTTCTTTCTCTATATTTTAAGATATTTTTTTACAAATAATAACAATAATGCTAATAATAACACTCCAGCAACATGAGCTACAAAAAGAAACTACTAAAGTTGCTACATTGTTTCTCTCTCTCTCTCTCTCTCGTTGTAAGCTCAGAGTGATGGGCGAGGGAAGCGCGCGCTGGCTCTCATTCAGTCACCACCCCACAGTAAGAAGAAACTTTACCTCTTTCAGTCTCTGACACGAGTAAATCCACAAATCCAGCCGGACCGGTCTGTCCAACAATGACCAGCACAGAGTATCTGTCGCTGCAGAAAGCGGCTCGAGCGCTTCTGCTGGAGCTGTCCATGCTCGCCAGCTCGCTGATGTGGTCTGCCGCCATGTTGCACAGTTTACACACATTCGTGAAGTCCGATTCTTCTTCTTCTTTGGAGTTTTTTGGCTTATTCCGCACCATAGGCACATACCGCCACCAACTGTTTCTATTCATGCATTCATTATAGTCCCGCCTCTATTCATATTTTATTTATTTTTTAATTGTTAATTTTATTTCGGGCTCACCCGAGCTGTATTTCTGGCTGCTGCGTGTTCAGCTCCCATGCCAAAAAACCCAGCTTGTGTGTTCCCATATTCCTTTGCTTTATTTATTTATTTAACTATCAAATTTGTTTATTTAATCCTGTTTCTACTATATATTCCATTACTATTCTTTGATTAATACCTTCTCTTAATCCTTTTTCTAATATCCAATTTATCTTCTTTTTTTCTTTATTATTACCAATTAAGTTCTTTATCATTTTAATTCTCTCTATATACATTTTAAAGGGGTCATATGATGCGATTTCAAGTTTTCCTTTCTCTTTGGAGTCAGACGCTTTTATCCAAAGCGACTTACAATTGGGGGATACATAAAGCGATTCTTCTTAAAGAGGCAAACAGACACAAGAAGTGGTTGTAATACCAAGTTCTTAGACATTGTTCAAATAAGTACAAGCTAGAAAGAGAAGGAATAAATAAAGAGAGAGAGATACTTTTTTAAAATTTTTATTTATTTAATTTTTTTTATGATGAAGTCAAGTAGCTTCGAAAGAGATGAGTTTTCAGCTGTCGCTTGAAAATTGTCAGGGATTCAGCATTCCGGATAGGGGTGGGAAGATCGTTCCACCAGCCAGGAGTGGTGAACGAGAATGTTCTGGAAAGTGATTTTGAGCCTCTCTGTGATGGTACCACGAGTCGTCGCTCACTACCGGATCTCAGACTTCTGAAGGGGATGTACATTCGTAGCAGTGAGTGGAAGTAGGCGGGTGCTGAGCTTGTGGCTGTTCTATATGGAAGCATCAATGTCTTGAACTTGATTCGGGCCGCAACCGGCAGCCAGTGCAAGGAGATGAAGAGAGGTGTAACATGGGCTCTTTTTACTGTCTTTACATTTATTTTGAAAGATGAAGCTCGCGATTATGGTAAGGGGCGTTACATTTCCGACGAGTGCTTGTGGTGTTCGGCCAATCACAATGCACTGGGTCAGCTGGCCAATCAGAGCAGACTGCGCTTGTCGGAAGGAGGGACTTTGTAGAAAACGAAGTGTTTGAGAGAGGCGGGGCATAGAGGACCTACAATAATGTACAGTATTTAATGTGTTTTTTGAACATTAAAGCATGTCAACATATTCTGTTACACCAAATACACAAAATAATGATCTTTAAAAAAGCATCATATGACCCCTTTAATATTACATGTTCAACGGTTTCTATTACCCCACAAAAAGCCCATTTGAGTCGTTCGTTTGACTCGGTTCTCTTTAATGATTCAGTCGAACCGATTCTCTCTGGATCTTTTACGAAGAACAGGCTGCGAGGGAAAAATTGGAGCAATATAGCCTACGCATTTGACACTAACGATTATTTATTTATTTATTTATTAAAAAATCAATTAATTAATCAATCTGATACATACATTTCTATGCATTTACATTTAGTCATTGGCAGATGCTTTTATGCAAAGCGACTTAAATGAGGACAATGAAAGCAATCAAAATATTGCTCAACAAAAGAGCAATATACGCAAGTGCTATAACAAGTCTCAGTTAGCTTAACGTAGTACACGTAGCAAGGTATTTTTAATTATATAATAAAAAAAACAGATAGAATAGAAAAAGAATAGAGCAAGCTAAGCTACTGAATACAACGAATATCTTTATTATAACTTACTCAAAAAAAAAAACATGGTGATAACAGCCAGACATTAAAACAATGTAACATAAAATGCTAATCGTGGGTATTCTGGCAACAATTTAAACTCGAAAGAATCGGCTCACTGAAATGACTCGTTCGAACGAACCGACCCCCTCAAATGAATCGGACAGCCCGACGGTAACACAAGCGATGCGCTCAGGGAAACGCCCACTATTTATATACAAGGCGCAGGGAGAGCTTGACGCCATTTGTGTCCAACCAGTTGATGAAGACCTTGCAAACTGGTATTTTGGAAGGATTTAGAAACTCATATTAACAAGACAGCTGGGTGTATGATAGAAATGTGTGCATGTGATATGCTTTTTTTATTTTAACAATGGCCATGTAAAAACTATTATGCAGTTATTTTATTAGGACAATGCTAGATAAATTAGAATTGGGCTCTTCACAAACCAAATTTCTTACATTTTATTTTATAAATGAATTTCTATACCAATTTGTACCAATTTTTAAAAAAGTGCTGAATATATGTACTATATGTCAAATAAATAAATACACATATATGCCATATTGTATATTTTATTGCTATTTCTAAACATGTTTGCTTTTAATGAATGGTAGTTTGCTCCAGTGTGGTTAAAAATGTGTAAAAGAGCAACTATTTCATGCAGACTCCTAACTAACTGCCAAATGAAATGATATATAGCCTGCTTGTCCTATATCTTTCTTATAACAAATATATTTAAATATATGTGAATAAAGGAATCCATCAATGTATAGGTGTAAATGTGTTTAATTATTAATGTCTTATCTACCATTTAGCCTAGTCTGCTGGGAGGAGCTGCATCTGATAAAACATAATAGCTTGACTACTCATCCAAGTGCTCTTTGACTTCTTGCCTACCAATTTAATAGCTCTGATATGACACCGGCCCCTTATTTAGGTTTCATTTTCAGGGACTGTAATTGGTTGAAGCTTTGTACCACCTAGTGGCCACGGAATTACAAGATTTGAATATTTCAAGATTATTCTCTCAGAGTTATCAGACTTTGAATAAAAACAAAAAACAGAGATATTTACAAAAATGCATGCATTTATTTGATGTGTGCATTAATAAAACGTTACAACTGACGGGAAACAACAAACATCTCTAACAATCATACAATAAAACGCTGGATAATGACAGAATGAGGCATGTTTTCACAAACACTTGAGGATGGAGAAACTGCAGGTGGTTCCTCCTGGACAGCTGCAAAGCTTCCCGAAGCGAGCGCCTTTGCGAACCGCACACTGCTCACCTGCATCACACTAAACACACCATTTCATTGTTTCATGGTTTTGTCAGACTTTATAGTTTTCATATTACATAGTTATATTAGTAAGTACTTGATGCAACTCACTTTGTGGAACACCTTGTATAAAATTGGGTTATTTCCCATGCTGTACCTACTTTTTCATATATTCCCATCATGGATGGTCTTCATCCCAAAATGGAATTCTGTCATAATTTACTCACCCTCATGTCATTCCAAAAGCAAACTATTTTTGTTTATCTTTGGAACAAGATTGAAAATATTCTCAATGTTCACAATGTTTTTTTGTCCATCCATCCATTGAAAGTCAAGGTAATCATCAACATGTTCAAGCTTTAAAAAATAAGTAATCCAAGTAAATCGAACGGTTTAATCGGAAGATTTCTATCGCTTTATATCATGACCTGCTTTTAAAATAGGCATTATAAAACGGATAGTTCTGGTCCTTGATTCTGATTGGCTGAGCCGCGTTCTAAGCTGTTGTAAATTACTCAACAAACATACACCTTTGTTTACGTTTTGTTGGAACCACAACTGTTTCTGAGGAACTACATTGTTTGGTGGAAGAATACTGTTTTTATTAATATCATTACACTTTATTTGCTCTGTTTTATTTTGCGAAGCCTTACTACGTATAAGGAATAACCGTTTTATAGAAGTAACAAGCCCCGTGACGCCGTGGTTTACACTGAATTTATAACAGCTAAGGGGGTTTTACAACGCTCCTTAGCTGTTATAAATTCACTGTAAACCACGGCTTCATTCATTGTTTCATGGTTTTGTCAGACTTTATAGTTTTCATATTACATAGTTATATTAGTAAGTACTTGATGCAACTCACTTTGTGGAACACCTTGTATAAAATTGGGTTATTTCCCATGCTGTACCTACTTTTTCATATATTCCCATCATGGATGGTCTTCATCCCAAAATGGAATTCTGTCATAATTTACTCACCCTCATGTCATTCCAAAAGCAAACTATTTTTGTTTATCTTTGGAACAAGATTGAAAATATTCTCAATGTTCACAATGTTTTATTGTCCATCCATCCATTGAAAGTCAAGGTAATCATCAACATGTTCAAGCTTTAAAAAATAAGTAATCCAAGTAAAGCGAACGGTTTAATCGGAAGATTTCTATCGCTTTATATCATGACCTGCTTTTAAAATAGGCATTATAAAACATTATAAAACGGATAGTTCTGGTCCTTGATTCTGATTGGCTGAGCCGCGTTCTAAGCTGTTGTAAATTACTCAACAAACATACACCTTTGTTTACGTTTTGTTTATAAAATTGGGTTATTTCCCATGCTGTACCTACTTTTTCATATATTCCCATCATGGATGGTCTTCATCCCAAAATGGAATTCTGTCATAATTTACTCACCCTCATGTCATTCCAAAAGCAAACTATTTTTGTTTATCTTTGGAACAAGATTGAAAATATTCTCAATGTTCACAATGTTTTTTTGTCCATCCATCCATTGAAAGTCAAGGTAATCATCAACATGTTCAAGCTTTAAAAAATAAGTAATCCAAGTAAATCGAACGGTTTAATCGGAAGATTTCTATCGCTTTATATCATGACCTGCTTTTAAAATAGGCATTATAAAACGGATAGTTCTGGTCCTTGATTCTGATTGGCTGAGCCGCGTTCTAAGCTGTTGTAAATTACTCAACAAACACACACCTTTGTTTACGTTTTGTTGGAACCACAACTGATTCCGAGGAACTACATTGTTTGGTGGAAGAATACTGTTTTTATTAATATCATTACACTTTATTTGCTCTGTTTTATTTTGTGAAGCCTTACTACGTATAAGGAATAACCGTTTTTTTAAAGTAACAAGCCCCGTGAAGCCATGGTTTACACTGAATTTATAACAGCTAAGGGGGTTTTACAACACTCCTTAGCTGTTATAAATTCACTGTAAACCACGGCTTCACAGGGCTTATTGCTTTATTTATTCACATAGAAATCAACACACATACATATAGAGCTCATCAAATATGGTAAACAGGAACTCAGACGATCATGTTGAGTAGCTAGACTTTCAATAGATGGTCAAAAATGATAAGAGGATATTACACATATCTAAATTTGCATGCTGAAGATGAATGAAAGACTTATGAGTTTGTAGAGTAACTTATGGGAGAACTACCTCTTTAATATTTGAAATCAGTATGACACTCACATTTCTAAAAATTAGAAATCACAGTTTTCTAATACATTAATAAACAGACAATTAAGTCCACTCAGACGATCATGTTGAGTAGCTAGACTTTCAATAGATGGTCAAAAATGATAAGAGGATATTACACATCTAAATTTGCGTGCTGAAGATGAATGAAAGACTTATGAGTTTGTAGAGTAACTTATGGGAGAACTACCTCTTTAATATTTGAAATCAGTATGACACTCACATTTCTAAAAATTAGAAATCACAGTTTTCTAATACATTAATAAACAGACAATTAAGTCAACATGTTGGTGAATTTAAATTATTTCACAATTTTATTGGATTTTTGCTGCGTATTCGCCACAAAGCAATACAATACATTTTAATATGACAAAACGTATATATTTATTATTTTATCTAATTATTAAGCAAACTATTTGGAAATATAGTATTTCATCCTTTTGTCCTTTCTCTAAACAAAATATTTCAACCAAAACATGATTTTGTTGATAATCATTTATATAGAGTTCAAAATGTACTACAGAATATGAATGACCTAATGACATTGTTATTTAATGAATTATATTTATGTGAAAATATGTGTAAAATAGACACTGTGAACTGTTGCCAAAGTCTTAATTGCTGAACAGACTTACCGAGGGGACCCAACCAAACTTCTTCTCTGCAGTGGGGATCTGTTTGTTTCTCAGTTTTTCAAGAACTTCTTGAAGAGCCTCGATCTGTAAGATATTGTTATTTTCTCAATTACTTTATCTGTTAATGCTGTAATTTTAGAATGATTTGCAGAGTTCCTGAAGAAACCCTCTTAACAAAAGGTATCTTACCAGTTCTTTCTCCTCTCGAGCTTTCATGTCATCTTCTGGAGAGCGGATCTCTAGAAGATCATCGCAGCTAACTAGTAGCATTAAGACGGAGCAGGTTACGGTTAGAAGAAAGATCCGATCACTGACCATTGTGGCTGGAAACAGGACTTGATTTGAGATAGACGTATATTGTGACCGACTCCTCTCAAGTAACAGAAGAAGGACCATCTCAACCATTTATAAGCTCTCTGTGCAATGACACAAATCCGTTCTAAATGCATCAACATGAGATGTTGTAGATGTCATGGGTCTTGACCCCATAGCACCTCCGAAGGCAATGCAAACTAAACGCTAGCTCCGTCCACCTGAGAACGTCAGCATGATGATTCATACGTCTGACCCATGAACCTCAAACATCAAGCCGCTGATGTACACCTAACCTCATCTTTGACTACAATTACCAACCATTTTTATTTCCGGAGAAGATCATTTAATTACCGGAACATCTATGACAAGAAATAGCCATTTTAAGGGACTGGGGCCAGTTCCTTTTGTAAATCTATTTTGGTTTTGAGTGTCATATGGGTTAGGAGTGAAAATGAAACACGCAGGATGTGACAATGCTGATCACAAAATAACGCAAGCATCTCAGCATTAACAAATAACTAATCATAATTGAACTATTAGATCACCATGACTTTAATACACAGGAGATCTTCTCTGATAGTTCCAAACCTGTTTGAAATTCTTTTCCATATAATGGAATTATGGAAAAGAAATGAAAAAAGAAGAAATGCATCACACCGGTAGGCCTATTACAAAGTATCATTAATTAACAGATATATATATTTTTAAACATAACAAAAATCTATTAGAGTAAAAAAAAAAAATCAGTATTCAAAACTCTCTCATTGCCTTACACCAAATAACAACAGTAAGCTTATAAAATGATTTATAATTTGAGCTGTCGGGTCGGATTTCGCAGGTTAGTTTGAAGTAATTAGTCTTTGCTTTTTCGTCACTTTATGTCACAACAATCTCAGGTTCAACACACTCAGTTGTGTTCATTCTGACAACTTGCAGCCATAACATTACACAATGGATCGTTCAAAAAGGCATCTATCTGAGGAATTATTTGTTGTTAGAACAATGGCCGCAGAGACTTTAAAGTAGGGCTGTGCAATTAATTGCATGCGATTGTCATGCGCATCTCGTCAGTAAAGCCGGTTCTGTGATTAGTAGTAAATCTCCAGCACGTGCTTTCAGATGGAGCGGCATTTACTACACAGAGCTGTAATTCGCTGACAATTAGGCGTTCATTATCGCAGATTGAATCGCTTAACTCTTATCCTCACCTCACGTAACAAAACAATGTTATCACGTGAGAACCGCGAAAAGTGTGGTCACAATAAGAGGGCAAACGGGTAGCTATTTTGACGATGTAGCGATTTATGAAGCATACTGTTGGACAAATTCGCGTGACCAACCTGCGTTTTCTTGCTTAATACATGTGGGAAAATCTTTTGCTCTCACGCAAAATTCCTGATTCATATTGAAATTATGTTCTTCGCAGAATTCACTAAAATGGTAAACGTGATCGCTCTTTAACTCGCAGTTTACGTCTCGACCACAAGAGGGCCAAATATGCCATTTCATATGTTACAGCGACATGCAACACAATTCTAATAAACAGCATATTTGGATCTTGGTCTTTATTGTGAAATATGAGACAGTGTACTGTGAATTATTGTAGAATCCACAAATAAATGAATACTAACACTTTATTCAAAACGTCAGAAACACATTATAAGAATGGTAGTTGAATTTCCTTTCATACTTCTTTCTTTTTTTATTTTAGGTATCCATTTAAACACACACACTGAGGGGCTCATCTTATCAGATCCTGGTCGTTGAATGCGGAGTCTGCTGCGGTCGTGTCCGGCTGTGAAGACTCTGTAGTGTTTGGAGGAGCGATGCTGGCAATGACCGGCTTGAACTCTTTCCAGGGTTTGGTAGGACAGTTGAGCGGTGTGCATTGGGTTGTGCTGATGCTCTCCTTGGATTCCTCTGAGGATTCTTTGACTTTTGTCCTTTCAGGCATGATCCTAAGAGGAGACCAGCCTGGTGGCCGTTTAAATCTTGCGACAGTCTGAAAACACGAAGTTGGGCATGAATGGGTTTATTGAAAATCTATCGCAATGCTTTGAAAATGATCTATATCGTTTAATAAAAATAAATGATTGATGGGTTGGCTCACCTTAATAACCACCGTCTCACATTCAACATGCACTTCTGGGCCCTGGTGCCTACAAGGAGCCATATCCACCGTAGAGTTACACTGCAAAACCTCCTAAACAACAACTTATGTGAGAGGCTACAAGAACACAAGTACTGTACACATTCCTTAAATCTGATAAATAATTTCAACATTCTATCAAAGAACAACTTATTATTGTTCTATCTCAAACTAAATTAATAAATGAAGAGTTCAGATGCAAAAGCCTCTAAGTGCTGTTTGAAATGTTCTTATAAAATGGGTATTTTTCTTAGGCTCCTATGTTTATGATCAGTTATTTCACCAAAAGAACCTATTCATTGCCATTCAAGTGAAAATTACTGAACCTACACACAGGAGCCTGATAAAAATGTTGGCACTTATAGGCTTTTGCATCTGAACTCTTCAAATATTCAATTACACTAGCTTTCAAAAAAGAGTGATTTTGGATGGTACCGTTTTTTCCTGCATTGGGTGGCACTCCTTAGTAACCACTTTGAATTCTGCCCTGGTGCAGTTGCTCTTCTCAATCAAAAACTGCAGTTTATACCTGAATCCAGCAACCACCTACACACAGAAAAGATCCACAACAGCACAACATTAACCTTGATGATCTTGAGTTCAACCAATTGCAGCCAACAGCCCAATCTGACAAAAAGAGTCCAATGGATTAAATGAGGGGATTTCACATTCATATTTGTGCATTTGGAAGACAACTCTACCTAAAGTCACTTTATATTGTATTCAGGCCATTGGTCTTATCAGTGAACACATTCCCTGGGAATCAAACAGCTGCATGAGCGAAAAAGAAATAATTTACCTGTTTTGTTGCAGATGTCAAGTCCTTAAAGATGAAGAAATGCTTGTGATTGACCATGCCGTTGGCTTTCTTCAAAGAATGAATGACTGGTTCTCTCAGTTCTTCATGATATAAATCGATCTTTTCAGGGCAGCCCAGACACGGGGCGACTTTAGAGGAAGCAGCTGGCTCAGCTGTCGAAAAAGTTTAGGAAAGATAGTGAGTAAAATCTGATATATGTTTTAATATATGCCATATTTCAGCTTTCAACATTTAAAAAAATATTGTTTAATTGACAAATTGCAATACTACACAAAATTCAAAAGGGAGATCCAACCAATCAGAGAAGTCAGTGTTAGAAATGGAAATCGCACATTTAAACGGATAGTTCAGCCAAAAATGAAAATTTTGTCATTAATTACTCACCCTCATGTCGTTCCAAACACATAAGACCTCCGTTCATCTTCGGAATGCAAATTAAGATATTTTTGATGGAATCTGAGAGCTTTCTCACCCTCCCATAGACAGCAAGGATATTACCACGATCAACGCACAGAAACGTAGCAAGGACATCGGTAAAATAGTCCATGTGACATCAGGGGTTCAACCGCGATTAATAATGTTATTTTTAGCAACACCATATGACCCCTTTAACATGAGTGTATAGATTGTATCCAGGTGAGCTTGGACTTGTAGTAGTTGTATAAGTCAATATTAATTATTAATCTGTTCATTAATTCTTGCTATTAATTTATTATGTGGTGCTGTTGAGAATTATGAATTGTTTGATATGACTGGAGTCGTTATCTCATGTGAACATACATGATCTTAATCAATTTGTCACAAAAGCCCTATAAAAGCTAAACACAGTAATGACACCAATAAAAAAATAGGGTTTTAAAGTTTTCAATTTTGATCTATTTAAAAATAAAAAGGCTTTACTCTGAGGGAATCTGAATCTTGTTTGTCACTGGACAATTTAGTTACTATAGTTTGCATTTCTAGGGCAGAAAAGTGCTATAAAACCTTTAATACAGAAAAATGACTGTGTGTACCTATAACTGTAAAGTAAGAAAGGGATTCAATTGCAGTTATTACAGTCATAACACAACATGCGACATACCTGTACAGTCATGTAACAGTAACTCTTGACCTGCTTCTTCAAACTGGACTGTCCCGTGACAGATTATGAGTGCCTGAGGAACCACAAAATATACATGTACAGTACTATAATCATGGCCAAAGCCTGCTGTTAGGCACTAATTACCAGGGCTGGGGGTAATTCATTACAAGTAACGCAAATTCTGTAATCAGATTACTTTTGCAAGAAGAGGCATTTTCTTCAGAAGGGCCTTTACAGTTGACAAAAAGGTAACTTTTGGGTTTTGTGTTATTAAAAAAACAAAACAAAAAGAAAACAAATAAGCAAGCCCCGCTCATGTGATAAAAAGTAACGCAAAAGTTACGTAATGCATTACTTTCTATAAAAAGTAACTGAGTAACACAATTAGTTACTTTTTATGGAGTAACGCAATATTGTAATGCATTACTTTTAAAAGTATTTGATTGTGTTTGGAAACATATTTTGGATAATTTACGCTAATCTTTAGAACTGATATAATTGACTGTTGCCCCAGATTAGTATTGTTTCTAAATGCGAGGGTTTGTTTGGCAATAATGAATGTAGATCATCATGTAGATGACTTCATAAGATCTTACCTTATCCGCTTGTTGCAGGTAGTCACATTCATGCCAAACCTTGTCTCCTCCCGCAGGACAATCTGTCTCTCTGCTTGTGAACCGTACAAACACGACTTCCACCGATTCATTCTGGGCCTGTGAAAATTACTGTATTATGCTACACTCTTAACAATGAAGGTTCTTTATTGGCATTGATGGTTCCATGAAGAAACTTTAACATCAATGGAACCACTATAGGTTCTTACTACACTCTTAAAAATAAAGGTTCTTTATTGGCATCAATGGTTCTATAAGGAACCTTAAACCTCCATGGAAACTTTCAAATGCAGAAAAGGTTCTTTATAGTCAAAAGAACGTTCTTTAGATTTCTAAAATGTTCTTCAAAATGGTTCTTTTAGGAACTGTTCACTGAAAGTTTCTTTGGGGAACCCGAAAGAACCTCTCAGTGAACAGTTCTTAAAAGAACCATTTTTTATTAGCATGAAGAAAGTTTCAACAATCTAAAGAATCTTTTGTGCGTTGATAAGGTTGCATGGATGTTCAAGGCTCATCATGGGACCTTCAATGCCAATAAAGAACCTTTATTTTTAAGAGTGCAGGACAACCTAGAGTTGCTTAGAGCTGAAGTATTGTATAACGCAAAGACCAAAACTACATCCTACCTTTGTAGCCTCCAGGATTTCATAGAGAGCCAGTTGACCACCTTTTGTTAATATCTTATTATGCGTGGAAAGAGTTAAATTCACAACTTTCTCCACACGTTTATCATCACACGGAATTTTAATGTTAGTTTGTCGACGTCCTCCAGAAGCATAAAGCCAAGCTAGCGCAAAAACCATCAAGATCTTGTCCCGCATCATTGTGCTCTTCTGAAAACCCAACTGTGTTGGAGTGAGAAAGTCCAGAAGTGTCCACGCTGGACTCTAAGTGCCTCTGTAATGATTTACTCACTGTTAGAAAACTCAATTCTGTGTCTGTATCTCCAGCTGTCCAAATATGGTGCCGTG